CCTCTCCTCCAGAGTACACGCAGAAGACTGAGTCTCACCATCCCCTCTCCCTAGGTGCAGTCTGGATGCATTTCTTCAAGCACAGATCTATTCTTTTGGCAGTCCAGGATATATTCAATACTCTTCATCAACACTACTCTTTAAAAGCACCAATTCCTCCTGAACCTTCTTTATTCATTGTCTTCATGAAGAGTATTACACCGCAGACTGCCCAAAGCAGAAGCAAGTCTGTGTTGGAGGAAGTTCACCCAGGGTGCTCCTCAGAGGCGAGGAGGGAGCAGCTTCCTCTCAGTCTCTGGGGCTGCTGTCAGCATGAGCTCTCTGGACAAAGGCTTCATGCAGGGAAAGGTGAACATCAGCAAAGGAGAATGCAGTCAGTGCAGCAAGGGGCTTGCACGTGGTGGAGATCAGGTGACAGCACAGGGTGGGACAAGGTTTCTGAGCCATAGTCGTCTCAACAGGACCTATAAAAACAATGACTCTCGCAAGCCTTCCATCAGCTCTGTGACGCCTTCCAGAAGATTATTGAGGAGTGGTCTAAGAAGCTCTGGCGGCATGGCAGGCTAAGTGTTGGGCTGCCAACCTAAAGGTCAGAAGTTTGAACCCACCAGTTGCTCCACAGAAGAACAAGGAGGCAGTTTGTTCTTATAAAGACTTAGAGCTGTGGGGCGGTTCGGCTCTGTCTTAGAGGGTCACCAGGAGTCAGTATAACTCAGAGGCAGTTGGTTTGGTTTGGCTATTTTTGGTAAGGGTGGTCTTGGAGACCCCTCGCATGGATAAGTAAAGACAGTCTTGCAAACAGCCCCTTAACTATGCAAATACCAAGCTTTCAAGGCTATTGGGAGACAAGAGGATATGGCCCAGGGGAAGCAAAGCAATGGGCACACACAGCAGGCACTTGATACATTGTAACTGTTTATCATTATTTGATAATGATAAATGATACTCTTGGATGGTATGTGGGAGCTCGGTTGGCCTAGTGGCAAGAAGCTGTGCTACAATCTCAAAGGCATGCAGTTCAAAACCACCACTATACTGCAGAAGAGGTCTGGGCAAGCTCCTAGCACCTAAAGAACAGAGGGTATAAGGCATTCACCTCCTTCCTCTCCTGGGCGTGCAGAGCCCCTCTCCAGCCACTGCTCCCAGACACGCCCCCCCCTGCACCCATGGGCCCCTGTGCCGGGAACGGCCTCCCAGCTCCTTGTGCACTGAACAGCTTCCAAAGCCGTCTGGCAAAGCCGCCTCCCAGAGGAGACCTCTCTGTTGCTAAGCTTCACAAAAATTGCTATTATCAACCCATTTCAGAATTGGAACCCTGGTGGCATAGTGCATTATCGATTGGACTGTTGTTGTTGTTGTTGTGTACCTTTGAGTAGAAAATGACCCCTAGCTGACTCTCTGGAGGGTTTTCAGAGGCAGTTAATCACACAGGAGGAGACTGACCATCTTTCTCCTGTGAAGCAGCTGGTGGATTTGAACTGTGGGCCTGCTAACCCCAAAGTCATCAGTTCAAATCCACCAGCCACTCTGAAGGAGTAAGATGGGCAGTCTCTTCCAGTTAAAGATTGTCATCCTTGAAGGCTCAATAGAGGGTCATAGGGAGTCAGAACAGACTCGACGGCTGTGGATTTGGGTGGTTTTGTTTGATTTGTTGTTGTCATTTTTCCAGATGGAGGCCCAAAGAGGGGTGTGGCTTCTCCAGGGCCCCAAGCAGACGAATGAAGGTCCTGGGACTAACATCTGGGTCTGTTAGTCCCCAAAGCATTCCAGGCCTGTCCTGTAGTTAAGGGGCTGATAATGGCCTTCCCCACAGCCCTTACCCCAAGTGATTCTTTCCCTGGAGACTCGGGGAAACGGTGTGGCACTCCCTATAAATGGACAGTGTCCACAGTGGCCCAAATGGGCAGTGTTTGCCCCCCTGTCTGTGCCCTGCTGGGCTGAAGCACCTCCTTTATGTCTCAGCATGACACCCCCACAGCCCCGGTTCAGCCCTGAGCCTCCTTACGGAGGTGAGTACTGCTCGAGCAGGCCTGTGACCTGTGTGGGTGTGGGGAGTGGAGCCGCTCAGGCCAGGCTTTGTGTCCTGGGTCTACCTCCCAGCCCTACTCCACAGCCTGGGCCAGGGGTGGGCCAGGGGTGCGCCTGCAGTGTCCAGGCACAGAAGTGGGCCACCTGGCCCAGCCTTGGCAGCGGCTGTCCCAGTTCCTTACTGGGGAAATAACAGCACCATTCAGGCAAATGGCCCAAGGGGCTCTGTGAGTGACGAGCATTTTAAGGGCTGTATGATCCAGAAGCCAGAAAATCAAGAGACGAATTGCATTGGGAAAATCAGCTGTCAGGGACCTCTCAAGAGTACTGAAAAGCAACAGTGTCAGGCTGGAGACTAAGGTGCACCTGATCCAGGCTATAGTCTTTGCAATTATGTGCTATGCATCGGAGAGTTGGACAGTGAATAGGGATGATAGAAAGAGAATTGATGCCTTTGAGCTGAGGTGCTGGAGAAGAGTGTTGAATATACCATGGACTGCTAAGAGAACAAACAGGTTTGTCCTGGAGAGGTTGAAGCCAGAATGCTCCTTGGAGTCAAGGATTCTGAAGCTTTGTCTGACTGACATACTTTGGCATGTTGCAAGGAGGGACTGGTTCTTGGAGAGGGACATCATGTTTGGGAGAGTGGAGGGGTGGTGCAGGGGCAGAAGACCCTCGATGAGATGGATCGATTCTGTGAGTGGAGTGGTGGGAGTGAGTGTGTCGGAGACAGCGAGGTTGGCACAGAATAGAAAGGTGTTAGGGTCGCTATGAGTCGCAAGCAACTCAACGGCACATGACAAAAACAACAAACGGTCCAGAGCTGGCTGGTACCAAGAGGTAACCTAGCTCTGTCCTGCTGCGGTCCAGAGACGGGCAACGACTTGGGGAAAGTCACACAGCAAGGAACCAGAGGCTCGAAGCTTCCTTCCTCCCTCCTGGGCTCCCGCTCTGACCCAGAGGCCGGCTGTCCAAGACAGAGACCTGCAGAGGGGGAGGGGAGGCCACACTTTGAGGAAGTTCTGGGAAGACTGCTGGGCCTCGGGAGTCCTGGGCAAAGCTGAGACACACAAAATGCTGCTCTTTCTTGGGAAACTGAGGTCAAGAGAGGCAAGGCAGTTCAGAGGTCACACAGCAGGCTTGTGGAGAGCCAGGAACACAACCTGTGCCCCTAACAACCCAACCAAACCCTTGAGGTGGGCGGTGTTGAGGCTCTGCAACCTTCTCTGGGCATTTCCAGCTGCACACAGACATCCCACATCCCACCGCTTTGCAATTAATAAGGCCCTAATTGGACTTCAGCAGTTATCCGTTCTCTAGCTTGCCACCTAGTGGCAAACCTGAGAGCTACAGGCTATTGTTAAATGATTTCCAAGACAGACGCTCTCAAGACAGAGGGAAGGACTCTTAATGTGTCAAGGAAATTTATCTGAGGGAAGAAAGGAGGCGACCGTCCAGGCCTCCCCTGGGAACACTTCTCAGAGCCCACATCCTCCCCCAGGTCACCCTTTCCCGGGTGACTCAGCAGGGCTGTGGCACCTGAGGACAAATCCATCCTCCTGTGAAGAGAGGCGGCCAGACAAATGGACTTAAAAGCCTCTACCTATCCCAGCAGCTTCCGGCGCCTGTTATTAATTGAATTATTCATAAGTATGAATTCTTCTCATGGTATCTTTCCAGGTGGAACGTCGTGCTGGGGTGGGGGGGCTGGTCACTGGCTTTATTTTGGACCCTGGGGGATCACTAGACCTTCCCCAGTGCTGGGTTCTGAGAGGAGAACCATTTGTGGAAAGAAAAAGGGGAGTCAGACTCCAGGATGGGAAACTCGCCCTCAATTCAAGAAGGTGCCCGGGGAGAGGTCCCTGTTCTCGCCCCTCTTTCGGGCTGCTGCGTCTTCGTAATTGGAGTGACCAGGAGTCCAGGGGACGATGGCACAGGGTCAATCTCTGTCCTCTGGAGGCTGGCAGGTTGGCACCCGGGGAGCACAGAGTGACCCCCACAGCCCAGCAGCCACTAAATGAGTCCAAGCCAGCAGGAGAGGGAAGGAAGGGGCTCTGGGGCAAAAGCACACACCTGTACCCAGGTATGTACCCACGTGGTCCCCATGGACCCTCAGACCTCACACCCACAGAGCCCCATGTCCTATATCCAGAGCCCACCCAGAGAGAGATACACACCCGGTATCCGAATCCACCCCCAGCCCCATCCCTGAGAGCAGGCGGGTGAACACCTGAGTGGATGAGTAGATGGGGGAGGTGTGCATGGATAGGTAAGTGACTGGACAGACATATATGGACAAACCACTGAGTAAATGGAGGTGAGGGATAGGGACTTGATGGGTGAGTGGGTGTGCGGTGGGTGGATGGATGGATGGATGGATGAATGGGGAAAGGGGTTGGTGAAAGGGTAAGTGGGTGGAGGTATGGATGGTCGCTGGGTAAATGGAGAGACGAGTGGATGAGGGAATGGACAGACTGACGTACAAGTAGATGGGCAGGCACATAGATAGATGGATGGGTGAGTGCGTGGAAGGACACAAGAGGGTGAGTGAGGACAGACAGGCACGTAGGTAGATGGATATGCAGGTGGATGGGTAAGTGAGTGGACAGGAAACTAAGCTTCTCAAGTCACTGGCACAGCGCAGGACCTGGGGGCTCACACCCCCGTGAAATGCCCCATGACGCCTGCCAAGCTAAGCAGCTTCTTTACACATGTTCCCGTCTGGCAGCCTGTGACCTGCACAGTGACCTTTTTTGAACCCTGAAAAGCCAGACTCCCCAGCACACAGCACTCACCAGTGCCACCCCTCAGCGTCCCCCACCCCCATGTACTGGGGGCCACAAACTCCAAGGGACAGGCCCCCCCACGCTCTGCCATGCTCAGACAGGACAGGGTCCTGCTCGGCCTTTCTGAATGACTCAGTGGGGGCAGCTGAGTGGGCCAGCGGTGGGGGCGGGGCCGCGCAGACTCACTGGGCACTCGGTTGATGGCTTTGAGGGGTCTCAGGACACGCACAGTGCGGATGGCCGACAGGTTGATGTTCTGAAGGTCCAGGGAGTACTCGACCATCCTGCGGAGAGAGGGGGGAGAAACCAGTGAGGGGCAAAGCAGGAAGGCTAGTGGACCATGGGGGGGCCTTGGGGGGGTCTCCTGCACCCACAGAGTGCCTGAAAATAGTAAGCAAAGGGGTCAAGATCCTGTCTCACCTCAGTCAATATGTAATCTTGAGCTGTTTCTGTGGGCCTTGGTCTCCTGCTCTGTGAAATGGAACTGTTGGCACCAACCTCCTATACTATAAGGGGTCCAACAGACACACCCAGGGTGCAGAGACACCCTTCTGGGTGTTCATTCATGGGGCCAGGCCATCCCACTAGCCCCAATCCTTAGAGAAGGAGACTGAGGGATCCTGGACTGACCCCAAAGAGTATCCAGACATCTGTCATGTCCTCAGGGGTGTGATGCAGGCAGAGGCCAGGGTGGAACCCCTCCTGACATTGCCCTAACCCCTCATGTGCCCACCAAGGCAGGGTTGGAAGCCCTGATCAACAGATGAGACGACAAGGTTCAGAGAAGACACTGGGCACCTCTGGGCACTCAGTGAGTAGGCACCACACACAGCCTGGGTTCTGCCAGTTCACTCCTCCCCACTGCTCGTCCAGCGCTCACGCCAGGCCAGGCATTGTGGCCACATCTCTGTGGACATTGTGCAGTACAGGGCTTTCTTCCTGACCCTGCTGTCTGCAGGAATCACTCACTCTCCTCCCGGACATGTCAGCTCTCTTCCATGGGACCTCCTAGGGGCCCCAGTTTCAGCCTCAATGGCTCATAGCTCTTCCTATATCCAGGCTACCCCTCTACCCCGTACCCCATCTGTCCATAAAACCTACATGTGCTCTAAAGCGCCGCCCACATGGTCCTAGTTCTCTTCCCCAGGGCCTCCATCCCCTTGTCCATGCTCCACTAGCCCTGAAGCTCATTGGAGTCAGCTTGCCTCCTCCAGGAAGCCTTCTCAGATCCCAGGAGGCAGAGTCTGAGGATTCCTCCTCTGCAGTTTCCTGTGCCTCCACCAGATCCTGCCACACTCAGTTACAGCTCACCCTCTTCCCGAAAGACAGGACTTCTGGAGCTCGGGAGGTACCAGGGTCTGCAGTCTCAGCCTGACCCTGGGCACCCTGGCCCCCAGAACCTTCCTCCCCCGGCCCCTACTGGGGGCTCTACTTGGCTCCAGCTCCACCTGTCAAATCACTGTCATCCCAGGAAATGAAAGCTTTTCCTACACACACTGAAAACCTGTCCAACTGTTGTACAGCCACCGCCCCCTCCCACTGTTTGAAGAGTAATTGACTGAAAGCACCCAAGCCGGGAACAGAAGCTGGGCTCCAGTGCTGACTGTGATACACACACATGTACACAACCCTCTACTGGCTGTCACACACACACACACACACACACACACACACACACACCCTCTGCCTTAGTCTGGACCACAGGCTGGTCTCCTGGCTGGCTGTGACACGCACACACACATATATACACACACACACACACACACACACTCAGCCTTAGTCTTGACCATAGGCTGGGTTCCTATGCTGGATGCGAGACTCACACACACACACACACACTCGACCTTAGTCTGGACCACAGGCTGGGCTCTCACGCTGGCTATCACACACACACACACACACACACACACACACACACACACACCCCTCTGACTTAGCATGGACCACAGGCTGACCTGCTGTCACACACACACATACATACACACACAACCCCCTTCTGCCTTAGCTTGGACTGAAAGATACACACATACACACACACACACACTCTCTCTCTCTCTCTCTCCCTTAGTCTGGGACCACAGGCT